GACGGCATCGGAAAGAGCATAGTCGAATTAGTAGAGCTGCATAGTTTTGAAAGTTTAAAAAGTTAATTTTTAGGGTTTAAATTGGAGTCAAAGTTGCCGACCCTCAAAAATTATCTCGAAAGTTACTGAACCAAATTGGTCGAAAATTTGTCACAATACCTAATTTGGGATGCTGATCATTTCTCTAATACATCGAAAAGCACGAAAATAAGCGGAACATGGTTAAATCGCGTACCCAAAACAGTTTTTCAGGGTTTTGTATTTTACGGGTTCTTGGCGGTCCGTTGTAAATAACCTTAAAAGATGCGCAAAAAAATTCTACATCGAATGAGGTATTTTATACCGGGCCGACAGAAACCCTACTCTTGCTATAAAGCATTTACTGCGCGCAAAACAGCCCCCAAAATGGGTCAAAAACCTCAAAAATGACCAATTTTGAAATCGGATATATGAAACCATATCTAGAGAACGAGCTGAGTCCATTGCAAAAAAGAGCAAAAAGAAATCTGGCTTCTGAATATAGGCTGAGATCCGGGGAGGAATCGAACTCGGACCCTTCGCCTGGAAGCCCTCCCTGGGGCCGTGGTGGATTGCATGAGTGCTCGCCTACCAATCCAAGGGCCGCGCCAGTTCGATCCCAGCCCCCCTTCAAAAGCAATATTTCTTTTTGCTCTTTTTTGCAATGGACTCAGCTCGTTCTCTAGATATGGTTTCATATATCCGATTTCAAAATTGGTCATTTTTGAGGTTTTTGACCCATTTTGGGGGCTGTTTTGCGCGCAGTAAATGCTTTATAGCAAGAGTAGGGTTTCTGTCGGCCCGGTATAAAATACCTCATTCGATGTAGAATTTTTTTGCGCATCTTTTAAGGTTATTTACAACGACCGCCAAGAACCCGTAAAATACAAAACCCTGAAAAACTGTTTTGGGTACGCGATTTAACCATGTTCCGCTTATTTTCGTGCTTTTCGATGTATTAGAGAAATGATCAGCATTCCAAATTAGGTATTGTGACAAATTTTCGACCAATTTGGTTCAGTAACTTTCGAGATAATTTTTGAGGGTCGGCAACTTTGACTCCAATTTAAACCCTAAAAATTAACTTTTTAAACTTTCAAAACTATGCAGCTCTACTAATTCGACTATGCTCTTTCCGATGCCGTGAAAAAAAACAGGGTCCAAAAAAACTGTGCCAAGCCATATTAGGGTCTGTTCGGGTGGCTCGCGGACGGCCTTTTAAGCCCCGACCCCAGTCTGTCCTTTTCGTGATTTCCGAAGTAATCCGCCGACAAATTGAATGTTAAGCCCACGCACAAAAAAACACGAAAATAAGAAGAGAATCCAATGCATGACCACAATTCACCCGAACCAACGCCACGCAATTCAATCACTGCCGCAGAAAACAGTAGAATATCAATAAAGTGCCTGCGTAACCCTTGAGCCGATGGAAAATAAAAGGCCAAAATACCGAATTCCGTTTCAGGTTGGGCTCGGAACACTAAAAATTCCAAAATTTCAGATAAATAGCTATTTTTACTACGCGATTTTTCTGTTCAAACTAGGTTTCGGAGAAATGATTCCCATCCCAAATTAGTTATTGTAACAAATTTTCAACCAATTCGATGGCATCGTTTCGAGGTCGGGTTTTTGGGATCGTAAATCAAAACCTGGTTTTGAAGATTGTTGCAAACTTTCAAGGGCTTTCGAATGGTGTAACTACCATTCCGATCCGATACTTCTGCGTCGAGCTAGAGCGGAGTGTTTTTTATTGAGAGACCTCGTATTACAGGAAATACGGTATGTTCTGTCGAAACAAGCTTGAAATTACCTACTAAAAATTACGACAAACAGCAAAAATTCCAGCCAGACAGAACGTGCGTGAGGGCGGACGAGCAAAGATCTCTTGGGGAATTTGATTTCCGTAGGTTTTTCAGGTTTCTCGGGCCATACAATGACCACAATTTCAGCCGGCAATTCGATCGCCAACCGGGGGAACGCCTCAGATTTTTCGATGAGAAGTCAGATTTCGGTTTAAAGAGACAAACAAGCAATGGTTTTCTACGGCGACAAGCAACGCGCAGCCCACACGTCGAGCCGTTCTATGGCGTAATAAATTACGGGAGTTATCTAGCGCTGAGGCGGCGCGTGCGCGTTGCGTGTCGCAGGTCCCCAAAAACCATGGGCAGGCATAGCCAAAGAACCGATAGAAATGCCTTCAATGTCCCTTTAAAGGGCCGGAGACTGCTGACGACAATTCGGAACGACAATTGGGAAACTTCCGAACGATTACGCCGGGAAGTCTTGGTTTTTGCGGTCCGGGATAGCGCCAAAGTACAGAAAATTAGAAGCAAAGAGCCCACGCGATCATAGGCACCGACTTCTAGGAGGTCAAGTAGTTTGTTTTCCAGAAACAAAGGTGACGCATTAGGAGTAGACCTACGGAGATCCAGCAATGCACGTCTTTCGATGTGGGTGGGAGAGAGAGAGAGAGAGAGAGAGAGAGAGAGAGAGAGAGAGAGAGAGAGCGAGAGAGAAACAGGGAGAGCGAGAGAGAGAAAGCGAAAGAGAAAGAGAAAGGGAGAGAGAGAGCAAGAGCAGAGAAAGCTAATGCCAAGTTAAAAGCGTAAAAACAAGGGGTGTGAAGTAGTGAGTGGTCACCCCTCCTGCTCTCCACCTCCTCCTCCTCGTCGAAATTGAAAATGCCCTGTGACAGCTGGGGGCACCTTGGCCTCCCCAAAAAAGCCGAATAAAAGCGAAAAATGGAGTCGGCTAACTTTTTTTTGGGAAATCTGTGTTGCAAATCGGTCGGCTGGAAGAGAGAGAGAGAGAAGAGAGAGAGAGAGAGAGAGAGAGAGAGATACGTTGATAAACCCAAATCCAAAAAATCATACTGTTAAGCCTTGAAAATTTTTACAACAGTTTTTGATGTGAGCAAATGCATTAACGGAGGTAATAAAGCCGGGGTTTCAATTTTGAACTTTTGGTGCATTAATCGAATTTACTTTGCAGAGCTTCAATTTGGAAAACTCGCATTTGGACTCGCGAATCCAGATAAACCGAACGCCCAGACACCCCGAAAAGAGAGCGCATAAAATGGGGCCTGAAGCTAGGTGAAACTGGGCCCGAAAAGCCCTAAGCCCCGCACTTTTCAAAATAAAAAAACCCCGAAGATTCGCCGCTTCTGGGGCACGCGTCAAAAGCCCGGAATTTCCTTCCTCATCCCTTCAGAGTTTTTTTCGCAAGGTGTAAAATTTGGGCGTTTGTCCCGGGACCCGCGGAAAGCTAAAAAAAGCGTCGATTCTTCTTCTTGCCAGGGAAAAGCACACCATCGGATAAATAAAATGTGCATTTTCACATAAGTATACAAAAGGCACAAAACGCGTTTTTGCATTAAAGCACACTTCCCCTCGGAAATTATAAAAGCGTTTTGGCATATTTATGTGGCCGCTAGACTAATTCTGCTTTTTTAAAAAGGAGATCTTTGGGACGGAAAGGTGCTCCGCTCATTTCGTGCTTGCCGATTCGGTGAAATGCCTGTGCGCCGATTAAAAAACCCCGTTTAACGACTAACCTCGCAAAGATTATAAAAACGTTTGTTTGCGTATTTATCCGGAACTCGCTTTTTTTATTTTCGCCTCCGGAGCTAACGCATATTGTTCAAATTTGCAAAACCCTGCATTTTTGCATTTTGTTTGTATAAATTCCGTTTATTACGTAATTTTTTGTTATGTTTCGGTATTTCATATATACTTTATCTTATTAAAACTTCAGCCTCTTGGTCTTATTTGTAAGCCTTTAGGCACTTCACCGGGGTCACGGCCATTTTCGCGGAACAGCTTCTGTAAAGGTCATTATTTGTAAAACAAGGATATAACATTTGTAACTTCAGCTATCAACTCGAATACTTACATCGTTTAGAGGCAGCAGGCCTGCTTGATCGTCATTTTCGGCGAAGCATCACCATTGTCGTAAAATCGTATAAAATCTCCGTATTCAAAAACACATTAAGGGATTAGATATGAAATGTAATAAAGATATAATAAAGTAAGATTACAAATCACAACGACGCTCTTTTTCAGTTCTGCAATTTCACATTTTATGTGTTGACGCCGGGGGTGGAAGGCCAGAAGCGAAATTGAGTCGGCATATTTCCAAAAATCCGAAATTCGAAATGTCGAAATTTGATACAGTATTTAAGCGATTTTGCGATTGACGTAATTTTCATGTGCTTCCGGGAGAACCCAATCTTGTCCCATCAGTTCAGAAATGCTTAGCAGCTAGATAGTAAGCGTTTTAATATGGTTTATGGTGTAATCTAGCCATATTCAAAGTCGAAAAATCGTCTAAAAGGAGTTTGAAGAGAGACAAGAAAATTTGCAAATTCTGGTCGAAAATGGCCATTTTAGTCACGTTATATTTTTTATCTTTTAATCAAAATTTTAATCGTTGCGGATTAGTAAAATACTGGTTAGAAACGCTTCCTTTATTTGCAATGAAAATGTCGCCCTTAAGTACTAAGTCCCCCGCCCACCGACAACGGAATAGCACTAAAATTCGGCTTTACAAATCTTCGACATTATGAATTTCGAAATGCTGGCCGTGAATACTTTGAGCCTACCAGACACCACCCGGGCCTTCACAATGTTAGCAAACCGCATATCCAGGGGGACCACTTGGAGGTGAGAGCCACCCCCCGTTTTATATCGATCTTGATTTTTTGTTTTTGGGGGCTTTGTATTGAATGATACAAAACCGAAAAAACCACAGCAAAAGAATGAAAACTCCAAACCGCCTCGCTGGATTGGGGGAAATAACGTATGCTACTATGCTTCTTGAAAAAAAAATGCATATGTATTCCAAGAAAATAAGGTTAGTTTTGGTTTTATGAACTTAATAAAATTGAAGTATATAAGGAATTGATTCAGTGAAAACTGAACTAAAAAAGTATGTGGCGACTACGCCCTAAAAAAATTTCTAACAATAAGCCTCAGCAAGTACTACTGAAGCCCTTTAATCATGCCCCTCCTCTTCAGTTCTCTTACGATTCGATCGATATAGATCCGATCGGACTCTTTCCAAATTTCTTCATAATTAAGTATCTCATCTTCGAAGAACTTATCATCTACCCACTCAATGACGCCCCATTGGTGCCAAAATATGAGCAGCTTCATAAATGGCCAATGATACGACGCCAACTTGTTCCGGATTTCTGGGTGATCCCAGAAATTCTTCAGCTCCATCGAATAAGTTTTCCTCTCCACCAAATATGGTACACCGTCTTCCAACCGGAAGCCATCACCCTGAGCGATCAATAGGATTTCCAATGGTTCTTCCAATAAGCCATCCATCTTCATTTTGATTACATAAAAATCAGAACGATGAATTTCATCTTCCGTAGCATATTTCTTATTGCTATTCTCATCAATTCCACCCAGCAACTCTCCGGCTTTCCCGAAGCGATTTGAATGGACTTCTTCTTTTGCTGCCTCTTCCGGATACTCTTTTGTGCTCTCACATTTGAAAATTAGCTTTCCGCTCTCGTGTTCGATCCAGGATTCTCTCCAACCATAGATTTTTTGATCCTTCATGTACTTTAGCCGATATTCACTTATAGCGGCCAAGTCCACGACCGCCCGGATGTGGCCACATTTTTCTTGGAAATCTTCTGTTTTCCAGACTTCATCCAAAAATAGACTGGGATGGTTGCCCATAAAGGGCTCCCTCTCAAAACTCTTTGGTAGCTTATTGGCTTCGAGGTGAACATTTTTTCCAATGACATCTGACATTTCTTGCGGGGCTTTCTCAGTACTATACTGGGGTAATTCTCTCATCCTTAATCTACAATATTTATAGTCGGGAGCTAATCTCTCGACGGAATACATATACAAAATTTGATAAAGGTCGTAACGCATAGTGGTATACGGAATTTAAACACGCTCACGTTTTCTGCCTTTTATACGCGGGATCCTGATAACGCGTCTTGGGCGCTAGAAAAATCCATACTGCCGACGTGGAATGAACGTAAAAATCGGATAACCCCTTATCTACAGGACGTCCCAACCCCCGGGATTTGGCCATCTTCGATCGGATTGGTACCAAATTTTTATCCGCGAAGGGGAATGTGTGCAGTGTGTGCAAAAACAACGTGCAGCCGAATTTTTAAAAAAAATGAATATTGTAAAACAAAAAGTTATATAGAATTAAAGGTGGATAGGAAGAAGGCATTGTTTTCTCCCCAGTGAAATTGTCTAATTTACGAAAATGCCCTCTAAATTGGGACTTTTCATAACTTCTTATGATCAAAATTGGCAGGAACCGACCTGCAAATGATCATTTTTGGCAATTTACTCAAAATCGTCAAGCTAATTGCGAAAACATAGCCAAAAATGATTACCAGCATTTCCAAAAATGAGTTTTTTAGTCTTGATTTTTTTTGTTTAACAATATTTCCGTTAAAAAATTCCATTGCATTTTTTTGGGCTTCTATCGCTGGTGTGTTCAAGTCGTCAGGAAACAAGCTCCTCGTGAAATTCATGTATCAGGTTGGAACGAAAGTTCTGTCGCCGAGATTTTGAAAGGCTGGCTAAATTCGTAGATAGCTCCATTCTGCGCATGCGATATGTCATTTTGTAGCTCTCGGCCTGAATGGTTCCGGGAGGAGGGTCCTGGGCCCTCAAAATCAAGAACGGCCGAGATACAGGCCCAAGAAGATTTTTCAAAAATTACGAGAAGGTGTTTTTGCAAGTTATCTCTGCATAGAGACATTTGCATGCGATACCATTACGCCAATCAATAGCCCTAGAGGAGTAGATATCGATAGATGTTGAGATCATCAAAATTGGACACTGGATAGCCAAGATATGGCCCCTTGAAGTTTAGCCCATTTCTTAGAACTTTTCCCGATTTCCCATACATTTTTTCAAAATCCGCTCCGCTAGTCCAAAAATAAAGCGGTAATTTTTGGCACCTGTCCGTCAAATTTTTGGAAACTGAAACTGACTGAACTGAATCGATTGCAAAAAAGAGCAAAAAGAAATTAGCCTTATTTCAATGTCGCGGAATCGAACCCGGACCCTCCGCCTGGGAGCCCCGTGGCGCAATGAGTAGAGCGTTGGCGTGCCAATCCGGAGGCGGCGCGGGTTCAATCCCAGCCCCCTCTCAGAAGCCGATTTTCTTTTTGCTCTTTTTTGCAATCGCTTCGGCTCGCCTTCTAGATGCGATCTGTTGTCTTTATTTTTCCGAACCGGAGATTTTGTATTTTTGGGGGCCATTTTTGGCGCGTTTTTGGCGTATAAAACGAGTTGTAGCAAGAGGAGGGGAGCTGGTTTCCAGGTAAACGACACATGTATCGACGTAAAAAAATATGGCGCATCTTTCTACGCTATTTTCATGGAGCGCAGAAAAGGCCGTTTTTTATGGATTCCAGGAAAACCATCTCGAGTACATGATTTAACTATGTTCCGGTCATTTTCGCGTTTCGCGATGTATTAGAGAAATGATCAGCGTCTAAAATTAGGCATGCACACCAATTTTTAGCAAATTCCCTCAAGTCACTTTCGAGATAATTTTTTTTGACATCGGCAACTTTAACGGCCGATTTAACCCCGAAATTAAACTGTTAAAATTCTCAAAATAGTGCCACCCCACTAATTCGACCATGCTCTTTCAGATGGCGTCAAAAAAACAGGCTCGAAAAAAACTGTGCCAAGCCTTGTTCGGGTGGCTCGCAAACGGCGTTTTAACATACTGCGTAGGGTGGAAACTGCTGGTACCGTTTAATAACTCTATTACAATGTTTACAATGACGTATCATTAGTTATTATTGTTTTTCAAGACGCTTGCAAAAATCAAACGAGGCCGTGGGTCTACTATTAGTGCGATAAATTGTTTCCCCGCACGCTTGCGAGTCAGAGCTGATGTCGTTATCACATCTGCACTGCCGGGGGAGCGATAGACACGCAGAGTACGATTGGCGTTGTCAACGTCGTCGTCCCCGAAACCTCGCCGCCCCCCCGAAATTTGGGGTCAGCTACGGCCCTGGTCACGGCAACAATACTTTATAATAATGTGATTTTGGTATTGGAATCCGCCGCTTCTATACCGTGCCGATCCCATAATTCGGCAACCTCCTCATACAGATACAACTGGCTTTCGTACTTATTGAAAGACAGTTGATGTCATTCCACGCACTGTCTTTCTAGAAAACGCTTTTAAAGATAGCGGATAGCTAAAAAAATTAAATTGGAACCCACATTAATAGCGGAGCAGAGCTCCTTGATATTGTCATAAATGAAGGACAGAGGTTGCGCCTGGCTGTCCAGTTGGGTTGTATAATCCCACGGGGAACCATCTCTGAAAACCACTTCGGATTGGCGTTAAGCAATAAAGAATTCGGCCTCGTTTGCGACACGCGACGCAAGTACTACACAGAGGGAACGGAAGTCCTGCTGTCTGTCATCGTCCGTTAAAGCGATTTCAGACAGAGAACTCAGATGGACAAAAATGGCATTTTCCGCGTTTCTGACACGCGACGCAACACGCCAGACGCGGCGCAGGAGATGATCCGCAACGCAAGAAGCCTCACGGATGCAACGTTAGACAGACAGCCAGAAATTAGACAGCCCGCAGCACGCGACGCGGTACGCGAGACCGACGAGCCATGCGACACACTACACAGCACGCGACACGCCAAACGAAAGGACACACTTCACGCAGCACCAGACGCTCTGCTCCTCGCGCCACGCCACATGGGACACGCTAACCAGCACGCGACACGCGGCACAGCACGTGATGCGCCATGCGAGACGATACGCGTCGCTAGACAGGAGTCGCGACGCATGATGCGACATTCTACACACCATGCGACACGCGACGCACCATGCCACCAGACGCTGTGCAGCGCACTTCACGCAAAGAGCACGTAAAGCACTATGCAACGAAACAAGCGATACGCGACGCATGAAGGAACGCCACACGCAGCACACCAGCCTTCGCGGCATCTCACCTCCAATAGGTGACATTATCCCCTTTCCACGAGAATCCTATCCACAGTCGACTCTGATACGTCGCCGTCGTCGTAGTGCAATCTGGCCAATCGTTTGTTATTTCTGAATTGTATTTCTTGTTCATTTTTAGGATTTAAAATCGTACCCGACATGAAGCTATTCTCCGCGGCGGAATGTATCGAAATTGGCTGCAGCCCCATTAAATCGCATTGATCCAGGCATTCCTAAAACTGGGATAAATCTTTTATTGCTAATTTTCAAATCTAATTAAGTGATTCAACTTTCTAACCGATTTATTTAATTAGTAGCACAGACCTGCGCGAAAGTGCAATCCAAGATGATAATAATCCGTGTTATTAAATGACCATGTTGGGTTCACTAAATGCGATTTCTTAAAATTCAGTTTTTTAACTTACCATTATCGTAATAATTTGTACAAGTTAGACAATTTGCAGCTACCGTATCCACGTTTGATATTTCGTATTCGGGATTGGCTTGCTTTAACGAACATGAGGTGACACCTTAATGAATCTCAAGTTTTTTTTAAAGAAGACGGTTAGGCTGGACTATAGATTTTGGCTAGGACGTGCTATGGATTCCCCCCGCGACACGTAACACTAAGTGATACGCTTTGCGCGGACTCCTGGGTGGTAATCAATTAGCAATGTAAAGGCGTGCGTGAGCCTTACTTGCGTTAAAATACATATTTTATGCCGCGTTGCGTGTTACTTCCACGTATTTCCATGTGTATCGCGTTGCGTATCTCATTCTGCGTGTCGCGTCGAATAGTGCGTTTCGTCTTGCGTCGCGTGTTGCGCTGCGTCTAGCCTCGTGTGTCTCGTCGCGTAATGCGTGCGTAATGCGTAACGCGCTGCGTATCACGTCGCGCGTCGCGTCACGTATGGCGGTGCGTATAGTGTTCAGTGTCATGTTGTCTATAGCACTGCCTATCGAGTTGCGTTTCGCGTTGAAGATCGCGTCGCGTGTTAAATTCCGCATCGCGCAGCGTGTCGCTGCACTTCGCGTTAGGAACCGCGTTGCGTGACGCGTCGCCTAACGCATTGGGTACCACGTTGCGAAACGGGTGTATTGCCGCGCTGTGTATCGCGATGAATCTTGGTGTGCATAACGCCTGCGTTGCGTATTGCGTTCCAAATCGCGCGTGTGCGGCGCATGTCGCGGCGCATGGTACGTCGTGTATTGCGTGGCCTAAAGCGTTGCATATCGCGTGGCGTAGCGTATTATGTGTCGTTGCGTGTCGCGTTGCGTATCACGTCACGTTTACGGCGCATCTATGTCTCGATTTCACCACACCGCAACAAGCAACGCACCCAACTTTCATACCAGCGTGTGGTGTTGCAACATTGTTAAATTCCAAAGATATTTCAAACCCAAAAAATCCATTGCAATACCTTGCCGGGCCCCTTAAAAAATGTAGCCTTACCCTGGCTAATTCCACTACAACCGGATTGCAAACATTCTTCAAGGCAATTAACACTCGGCACCGGTGAATCAGGTATTTTTCGTAAAATTACGGTTTTTACGGTATCAGATTTAATACAGATAGCAGAAATCATAAAGATTATTAGTATTTTACAGCGCATTTCAGATAAATGAATTTGTTTCCTAAAGTTGTGAATCTCTAGAATTTTGTGCCACTTTTGCAAACCGCAAACTCCAGTCGCCAAGCAACTACCACAATTCCGGCGTTGAAAAATTTAGTGTGTTTTAAAAAAAAACACCCGGCATCCGGCAAGTCGTTGCGAAGCGACAAACAGGGA